AGGTTATACATTGTGAAAAAAGCACATAGTATTTTTCATACAGTTATAATTACAAACAATTAAAATATATTATTTCTAACAACAGACCAAAACGTTTCAGTACTTTGGCTCATCATGAACAGCTTTCAGTGCTTTAAACTAAAAATATACATAAATATTTGTTTTATATCAGGGGTATAATGCCTGTAAAGGTGTAATAAGCAGATTTTACTGTTTGCAGTCTGTTGGAAATGAGGAGGTTTTCCTTCCCAACGATGAAATCTGGGTGTATGACTTAGAACGTGGTGTCTGGTAAGAGCAAATRTGTTTTAATAATTTCACTTTATTTAAAAAGTGAAATTAGCAAAGTACTTTCCTTAAGTTGTCTGCTACATGTTGTTKAAAAATGTTTTCTGACGGAAGTGAATGCCGTTTATCCACATTTAATATTATTTTTTCCATTTCTGAAGGGAGGTGTTTCACGTGACAGGTCAAGTCCCTTCCTCCATGTCTGGAAGCTGCGGCAGTTCGCTGAATGGAAACATGTACATATTTGGAGGTTGTGACGACAATGGACAAACCAATCAGGTGAGAAATAGTGGATTTGGCTGTTTTCGTAACTATTCTTTTCATTTAAATAAAGGAATTTTAACTCAGGTTTACAACTGGGTTACAATTGTGTAAACACWAAAAAAAATCCATTTATTAAAAACAGTTTAAGTAGTAACTGTATTCCAGTTCAGCAGCTTTGAGTTTTTATAAGAAATACAGATACATTATTATTATAACTAAAAATACAGTGAACATTGATGGATGTTACGTATTTTAAAGTAACTTCTGTGATTGTTTGATTTGAACAGATGTACTGTGTTGACCTCACAGACGGGAAATATATGTGGAAGAAAATAGTGGAAAAGTTTGGTTTGGCTCCTTCGCCTCGAGACAAACTGTCCTGTTGGGTTTACAATGGAAAGTAAGCAATACGAAAAGATAAATATGCCAATTCTTTTTTTTTTAGATCTGTTTTAATCAAATGCACTTAATATGAAACGTTGGATCCAGATTTGGAGGATTCAGTACTCAATGTATTTGTTCATTAACCCTGTCCTCAGAGTTTATAAATACATCCTCACATGAACATCTGCACATGCATGTGATGTCATGTTGTAAAACTTAAGTAACTTCTATAGCAGTGGTCACCAATCCTGGTCCTTGGGGGCTTAAATCCAACATGTTTTATATAAGATGTAAAAAGTAGTAAAGTATCAGCTGAAACTTAAACAGGGGATATTTTTTCCTGCTCATTAGTCAGAAACTAGTTCTAAGGCAGTTTGTAGCCCATGTAGACAAGTGGAAAATGTTTAAAAAGGTCACTGGTTCAAAAAAAAAGTGGACGACCCAGTTAGTTCAAACCCGAGGTAAGACGAGGTCATGCAGTCCTCAGAGAAGAATGTAGCTGCGTCTCAGACGCTACAAGCTAAAGGTTCAAACGTTTAAAGTTCACAGCAGCACAGCTATAAAGACACTGGACAAGTGTTGTTTGAAAGAATTGCTAGAGACTTAAAAAATATTCTCTCTTATTTTTAGTTTTCCTTAGTGCATACAGTTCTTCAAATTAATAAGATTTTTTTTTTACCATAACTTGGTGTTAAGCTTTAGAATTTATTATTTCTGCATGTTTCCTGTGCAGTTGAACTAATAACATAATAAAAGTGCAGGGGAATGAAATTAAGGCAGTTTTGAGGGATTGCTTCATAAATAATTTATCATCAGTGTTTGGCTATTGTATTTATTTCTTTTTTCTCTCTAGGCTGATCTACTTCGGAGGATACGGCCACAAAGAACTGAGTGAAATAAACAGCCGGAACAGAAGCTTCATTCGTGATGGCACATCATGGGTAAAACCTGTCAACATAAATGTTTGCTCATCCATCCAACTTTACGCTCTGAAGTTATTTTTTTAAAAGCAGTGTTGTAGGAGTGATTTTTAATGTCCTGTTTTATTTGTTTTTAAATAAAAAAAGATACAATATAACAGAAAATTGAATATCAGCAAAATCTGTGACTAGTCTTCAAAGYATCAATAAACTTTGTGTTTTCAGGAGGATATGTTTTGTGGTTGGAACAATGAAGTTCATATATTTGACCCAGTTCAAGTCAGCTGGAGTGAACCACAAACTCATGTAAGGACACAAACCACCTCATAACTGACGCCAGTACATACACAGAAAATATGATGTGACACTTGGGAGGGTCTTACGCTGGTAAAATCAAAGAAGGAAGTCATTGGTCAGAATGGTGAAGATCAGTATTTTGCAGGGTCGTCCTCCTGCACCGAGAGCAGCACAYGCCAGCGCCACACTCGGATGCAAAGGATACATCTGTGGAGGCAGAGTGAAGGTGAGAAGCCTTATGGCAGTGTAACACGCTGATCCTGAACAGCCATTTCTCTCTCTCTCTCTCACACACGCAGGAAACCAGGACGAGTGACATTCACTGTCTGGATCTTGAGTCTTGGACATGGTCAGAAATGTACGTTAACTCAAGCTMCCAGACGTGTGTCACCAAAAACACGTGCGCGAAATGTACAGGAGCATAGACACTTTTAGCATAATAATCCAGTTATGTTTTACAGAAATCCTTCATCTGTGGTTCCAGTGGGCAGATCGTGGCACACGCTCACAGCCATGTCAGACACCACCATGTTCCTGTTCGGGGGTCTGAGTGTAAACTGTAAACCGATGAGTAAGAACACCCTTCTCTTTATATTTAATAACTTTGCTGCTCATTTTTACATTCTTTAATCTGTTTTATTGTTTTTCTTCCATCAGGCGACGCCTGGTTGTTTGATGTTRAAACAAAGAAATGGAGAGAGTTAGAGCATCCCTTTAAGCATAAGCCGAGGTAGTAACACATTCCTAATCCTAAACAGAAAYGTATAAATGCTACTTTAAGTTGTGGTAATGTTGTAATCTACAATGTTTGCTGTGACTAAGGTTGTGGCATACAGCCTGCGCGAGTACAGACTCAGATGTGATTGTGTTTGGTGGTAGCTGTGACTACATTCTCCTCATTGACACTGTGAGTATCACATTAACATACCTGATGCCCCTAAAATCACTCATATTGGAGAAAAAAAATTGTGAAAATTGTCAGACTTGGCAATAATTTGTAGCTCTACATTATGCTGGTGAAGATTCTCAGTTATCCAGGTCATGATCAAACAAAAAAGAGTTAAAAAACAAAAACTGGACTTTGAATTCTTTTTTTATAGAGGAAAARGAAAGAGAAAAAGACTGAAAGAGAGATTAGATATTTGAAATATAAACCAAGAAAACACACGACAACACACCCGACATCTGTCTGCACACCTGTAAAAATGGAGAAAACAAAAAAGCAACAAATAACGTGTATATCATAATTATAACTTTGCTGAAATATATACATACATACATATACCCATACAAACATATATAAATATACGTACACACATACATACATTCATATACACAAACAAACAGGCCTCAGATTTCAACTATCAAAACCTTACAGTGCAGTTTTAAGCCAGATTCTTAAAGATGGTGTGATGTCAGTCACGTGATTTCAACTTCCATTTTTTTTATGGGGGAAAACTCATTGTGAGACTCTGTTACAAACTGTGTCAAAGGTAGAGGCTTCAAACTATGCAGCAGTTTTTAAAKTGTGTCGTTAGGTCAAGAGAAGAAAACCAGAGTTACGATAAATGGCATATCTTATTATTTTTTTCTGAAAATAAACGTTCTATTTTGAAGCGCGTTGCAGCTGAAGGGAGCAGGAAACACGGTAATCTCGTGGAAAAAACACCGGTGTCCATCGTCAGTCTCATCTTTCTCTTAAACCGAAAAAAAAAAATAATAATAATAATATATCCCTCCAGACCTCCTTTTTGACTGAGGCTCAAAGTTATCTGACAAGCAGTAAAAAAAATCTACAGGAAGAAGAAAATAAAAAGAGGCAAAATTTGAATGGAGTTTGGCGGCAATGAAGAGCCGGTGAGAGCAGGACTTTATTAATTAGATCTGTGACTTTTATCATGTTTGGATTTTATAGTTAGTGTGTAGTTTTCAGTGTTTACTCTTCATTTTAGCCAAKTTTATTGCGAGGGAACACAAAAGAAAATAATTTCCCCATGTCCTCTCATGGGCTCTGTACGGTGAAGCTCTTCTCAACACCAGCTGAATTGACATCACAAAATCCTCATCAGACCAGTTTTCCAGGAGTCTTCCTGATTAGCAAGACAAATCAAGCCTTTCTGGGACCACTCATATCTGGATGGTTGGGTATCAAACAGCTTAAAAAGCATGAATCTGGAAAGGAGCTTAGTTTACTTAATTCTGACCTAATCCCTGACTGGATGTGATGAGTCAGATTTAGTTTTAAGCTTTAACTTTTCCATTGTTTTTTTTTTCAGGGCCACTGCAATGAAGCACTTGTTTTCCAGACACAACCGTACCCTTTGTTCAGGTAAAAACTCATGTTTTATGAACTTTCAAAGCAAAATAATATTTGAAAAACTGATAAAATTATAATATAAGCGTCTTCACACAGCACACATTGTAATTAAAAAAATGTTAATGTGCTGTTTTATTGGTAAAAGCAGTCAAGTTTAACTCCACTGTATTTTAGATCAYGTTACTTCAAGGTTCTTTCCCAAAATACAAAATGTGAAATGACAGACTTTTTTTTTTTCTCGCAGGATTTGTGAGGATTACTTTGCCAAGAATGTGAGAAACTCCGAGAAGCTCCGAAATCAGCTTCGTTTTCTACCTCCCAAACTTCTCACGGCCCTGCAGAGGAGAATATCTTTCTAYAGGCCTTCAAAGAAGCAAAATATCAGTTAAATAACATCTAAAACGGTGACAAAAAAGTGCCATATTTTACTACTTCTAACTAGGATTTGACCATTTTAATTTGTAAAATTCACTGAGCAGATTATTTTGTGGTGTTTCTATTTTATTGTTTTACAAAAATACATTTTATTTTGTAAAGTCTGCCTACCAGAACTGTAACAAAGTATTAGTATAAGATGTGATACGAATAAATAAGCTGCTGGAAAAGATTTGTCAGCCTGATTATCAGACCCGATGTTAAAAACACACATTCATGCAAGGCTCGTCTTTGTTTCAGTAAACCTTTAAATTACAGCACAAAAAAAAAAAAAAAAATCTAAATCAGCACTTCTTTTGGACTCATGCAATAAAAGTACAAGTCCTGAGCTCGACCACTAAGTGGCAGCAGCTCTTCTGTGTTTAAACGTGTCAACAAAAACACAGCTGTGTGCAGAGTGCCACGTTCCTTCTTTAACAGGCAGAAACCTGCAGGAAGAAAACCTTAAACAAACACTTCTCACACGTTTTCAAAAAGTTTTGTCACGAGAGTCAAAATACAATGGATCCAGCTAAAGAAGTGTTTTAGGGTCACACAGATCCAAAGCAACTCTGAGCGGACAGAAAACGTTTTTTAATTATTAAAAGACAACTGAAAACAACGGGTAACAAATGCACTCAGAGGGAATAAAAGGATGATGCGTCACCCTGATGTTCCAGATAACGAACCAAAGAGGGCCTCTGTCAGTTAACACTCCTGCTCAGAACAAGCAGATCCGCTCAGGGTTGTTTGGGCTCCGATGCTGCAGATGCACATCTCGAACAACTCCAACAGTCGGGTTGAGTTCTGTTTGAGCTCCAAGTTTCTCCTGTTGAAACCACCGGGTACGGATCTGCTGTGTGCTGAGCTGACCTGTCAGCTGAACTCTCTTTCGATGGTGTCCATCAGCTCCTCCTCTGACCCGTCGTACAGAAGGAGTGGTGTGGTGACGGGAGCAATGTGGCAGCTGTCAGACGTCCTGTGGAAAGCATGTAGATTAAAAGTAAAGAATCGTCAGAAGGATCAGACCTGCTCACTGACAACACTTGGTGTTTCAATCTCTTTAAGGTGAATTTGATCTGGCCAAGCCTCTTTCTTTTTTTTTTTTTTTTTTTTTACTCCACAGAGTAGAGAAATAAATCATTCATGAGAGCTGTCCACTTACGGCTGTTTTTCTGGTGTGGGCACATTTTCTAACAAGGTTCCTCTTGCCAAAAACTTCTTTGAGGAGGACTGAGGGAACAAAAGATGAAGGGATTTAAGGTTGTTTTCTTTTTGGTAACACTTTACCTTATTTAGCCTTACTTAATCAATCACTAATAAATGGTTCATCATTAATTAAGGATGATTCATACTTAATAAGCCATAAATTAACATTTATTGTCTTAATTACTTCTAAAACCAACATACTCATTATTTATTCATACTTAACTCATGAATTATCTATTCTATATCCGGTGTGTGTATGTAAATACTCATGTAAGTGTACTATCTTTCAAGAAATGTCATGTTTTACATTCTAACCGCTCATTTTTACTCAATACTTTCACATTAAATACTTAGTACATCTTTTATCAGAAATTTACTTTTTATAAGTACAGTTAATGTCAGATACTTTAGCACTTTTACTCAAGTAATAGGGGACTTTGATTTTTACCAGAGTAAATTCATGGTAAGATACTTGTATCACTTTGAGGTACTTTATACAACACAGTTAAGCATGAATAATTAATTAATTGTTTAAAGTTAACAAACCATTTGTTAAAGGTTAATGCTAAACAAGGTGTTGTAAAGTGTTAGCGTTTTTTCTTTTACTTACAGAACAATATTAATCACAAGGAACCAGATAAAGCCCTTACATGGTGCTCAGTGACCCCATCAGGTGTGTGTTGCTGTGTGTGTGTGAAAGCATCTTTCTTCCTCTTGTTTACGTCCTCTGACGCACGTGGCGCAGGAGCAGCGCTGACCTCCTCCTCCGCGTCGTCCTCACCAGAATGGCACAATCCGTACGTTTTGGACCAGATGAAAGTTCTTTTCGGGGKACTTCTCTTCTCAGATTCCGTTCGTGGATCCTCATCATCAGCCAGAACCGTGTCGCCCTCTGACAAGTCTGCGTCCTGGCCCTCTCTGTCCAGGCGGCTCCGCGCGTTACGCACAACGCCGTGAATGTGGAGACGGTGGAATGGACCGCGGTCCTGCTTGGATGAAGAGACAGAAGCTCCTGTTTTGGTCACTTTTACCTCCCTGACAAACTCTGGTGCGACTCTCTTCCCTCTGCTTGGACCGGACCCCATCACCGGTGCGTCTGGTTGCTCCTGTTCCAAATATCCTTCAGGCGCACGAAACGCCTCATTACCCGACAAAAGACTGAACTTTGTTCGGTGTTGATGCTCGACTGTCAATTAAATAAAGCAAAAAATATTTGTCTAGAAAAGAGTTCCTGGTTCCAGCAAGTAATTATTTCCGGATTTGCAGACGCGGTAGTCAGTCTGAAACTTTCCACCATCAGGATGAGAAGTTCTCTCCGTTACATAACTCACAGCTTGGCTCAGGACCCCAGGGAGAAAAGACCGCCTTTCTTCAGGGGGACACACCCCCTCTGTGTTTCAACTGTGTCGAACAGAAAGTTCCACTTTTACACCAGTTTTTGCTCCTAAAACAGGGGCGCYCAAATATTTTCCTTGAGAGGGCCAAAATTAAAATCAATCCGAGGGCCGTGGGCCAAATGCAAATACTTGTTAAGTAGTTTTATTTATGATTAAGCCAGCAGCCAGTGCAGTTTCCCACACTTTTTTTTTCAGTCCATGGAGAAAATTCAACATATGCTTGGGCAGCAAAGGCTCATGGGACTTTTCATAATTTAAAATTTGAGTATGGGGTCTTATGAGCTGTGCAAATCTAGATATGGGCTTTAATCTAAATGTCTCTTGTAGTTACTTGTATTTTATATTTAATCTTAATTCAAAGATAAAGTGAGTACCATGAGCTAAGGCTCACTACAGCTCCATGTACATATGGTTGGACCAATGGTTGAAAAGACAGTGTTTCTACACTGTAAAAAATGAAATGTTGGATTTCCTTAACCATGTTATGTGACCTGGTTCCACTTAACTGAGTTGAGTAAACTCAAAGCTATATACCAGTTTTTTAGCCAAAGAACATGAATATGTTGCTTTGAATTTACTCAACTCAGTTAAGTGGAACCAGGTAACATAACATGGTTAAGGAAATCCAACATTTCATTTTTAGAGTGTACATAAAACAGAAGATTACAATCTAGGAAGCAGGACAGCTGCTGGTGGGCCAAATTAAATGGCTTGGYGGGCCAATTTTGGCCCGCAGGCCCCACTTTGKGCACCTCTGTCCTGAAGTAAAACAGTAAGTTCTTAGACCCTCCTGCTGCCCTTATTGGGTCAAAATGACGGTTTAGGATTCAGTTTTAAACCTGGGGTCTTTATGACCCAAGAGCAACAGGGTTGTAAAGATGACATCAGCGAGATGTGTAAAAGTTTTTAGTTCAGTATCTGTAAAATTGATCAATTTTTTCAGTTTGTGTTGGCCTAGCTGTGGTGGCCATCTTATATTAAATTGTTTCCAAAAGTTTATTATTTTTAGATGTATAAACAAATAATTTCTGAGTTTCAACAAAATCCATTCAGTGAATCATGAGACATCCTGCATACAGACAAACATGGAGGATCTAGAGTTAATGCTACAGATTTAAGCTAAGATGTTGTGCAATGTGTAGCCCTTGAAGTATGCGTTGTGAAGGACTCTTAGCTACTACCACTGGAAACTTTGTCAAAATCTGTAAGACTGATTGAGCTAAAGCCAGTTTTCTCAAAGGTCAGTTGGCTGGATTGAATTGGCTTTAAAAGTTAATCAGCTATAGAGGTACATCCACTGATTATTTCATRAAAGTTTCATTAAAATCTGTCTGGTGGTTTGAGTTATTATGCAACAAATAAATAAAGTTGATTCCAAATCAATAATGCAAATATCTTTTTAAAGAAAGAGCTTTTACAATCAATTACTGCTCATAATCTAACTAGACTACTACCACACCAAATTCTAGGTCAATATCTATAAAACTGACTGAGTTATTGCCATTTATATGGTTTTTAATTTCAGTTGGCTGAAGCGCTCAACTTGAATTGGGTTGACTCCAAAAGTTAAAGARTTGTAGATGTATATCCAGTGATTACTTCCTGCAAGTTTCAGYAAAATATGTTTAGTTRTTCATGAGATAATTTGCTAACAGACACTGATACTCAAACAAAAAGCCTTTGATTTCTGTGACCTGCCTATAGGCTCATCTTTGGATCATTGTGTATTAAAAACACAGTGAGTGCTCCTCTGTGCCAATGCTGTTTAACAAGAATGTAGACTTAAAAAAAGTTGTTTACAGTCTTTCACTAAGTGTCCGTCTCTTTTTTTCTTTTCGTACGTGTGTGCCAGACAGCTGTGCAACCTGCTCTCTCTGGAGGATCACCAAGTCAAATGTTTTTTTTTTCTTTTCAACTAAATGTGGGGGAAAAAAAGTCTGTTTGTTCCAGATGTTTGTAAGAGGAAATTCCTGCTTTACAGTTAGACATAAAGCCTGAGCTGAACTCCAGGAAAATACAAGATAATAAAATAGTCAACTTGCTACATTTAATATTCACAAACAAACAGGTGTAGCATCTTTTATTTAAGCAAAAATGTCTTTTATTTTTCAAAGTGCTAAAACAGTTTGAGGGCTAAAATACAAACAAAAAAAACCCTCCTGATTGTACGGTTACAAAAAAGACAAAAAAAATAAAGCTTTTTTCTTTTTTAACCTAAATTTAGAAGTGAAGGAGAAAACCTGGTTTCCGCTTTGTGTCTCAGGCACTCTTGTTTGTATTCTTTCCAAATTCCATTTCTGCCTGCTCCAGTGTGTCATTAACAAAATCACGCGGCCACATCTGGAGAAAACTTCAACAGCTTCCAGACGAGGGTGAGGATCTGCTGAGATGGGAGCCACGGCCCAGCCAGCTGCATAACTGTGGTTTGTCTGACTTCTCTCACATTCAAGAGTTGCTCCTTTAACATGGACAAAAAGAGGAATAAAATCCTCATAGAACTCTCCTTAGTTTCAGTTGGTCTTTATTGTCAGAAAGAAACTTACTGACTGTTGAAATTTGAAGGAGCTAAAACTGAGTTGTTCTTGTTGAAAAAAAAWAATACCAGATAAAAACTAAAAGAAACATAAAAGAAAACATAACACCAGCTAAAACCTATAGGAAGCACAACACCTAGCTTAAAGCTGAATAGAGTGGAATACTTGATAAAAGCTAAAAGAAGCATAACACTACCTAAAAGCTAAAATAAACTGATCATTAGCTAAAAACTTAAATAAGCAGAGGCTTGAAGCTGAAAGAAATAAAGCACTAGCTTCATTGAAAAAGTAATATTGTAGCTGAAAGACACAAAGTGGTAGCTAAAACTTCGCAAAACACTAGCTAAAAGCTAAATGTGTCAAAAAAGCTGGCTTAAAGCTAAAAGTATTATAACCCCCGGCAAAAAGTATAGAATCACCAGTCTTGGATGAGCACTCATTCAGACATTTCATTCTGTAAAACAGACTCAGATCAAAAACATGATACAATAATAAGGTCATTCCAAAGTGCAACTTGTTGGCTTTCAGGAACAMYCAAAGAAATGAARAGAAAACATTGTGGAAGTCAGTGAATGTTACTTTTATTGATCAAGCACAGAGAAAAAATATGGAATCACTCAGGACTGTAGAAATTTGGTTGTTTTCTTCAGGCAGTCCTCTTTATAAATCTCACTGGAACGGCACCAAACAAAAGTTCCAGCATCATCACCTTGTCCAATGCAGATTCTTGACTCATCACTGAAGATAACTTTCATCCAGTCATCCACAGTCCATGAATGCCTCTCCTTAGCCCAGTTTTATTCTTTTTTGTTTAGGTGTCAATGATGGTTTTCTTTTAGCTTTCCTGTATTGAAATCCCATCTCCTTTAGGCAATTTCATACGGTTCGGTCACATACATTGGCTCCAGCTTCCTTATGCTTCATCTGTTTAGTTGTACTTTTTTGGTTTTCAAGACAAATGGCCTTGTTTGTCTTGATGCTTTGATGTCTTTCTTGGTCTACCAGTACGCTTGGCTTTAACAACCATTCCATGCTGTTTGTATTTGGTCCATATCTTGGAYACAGCTGACTGTRAACAGCCCACATCTTTAGCAACCATGYGTGAAGAGTTACHTTCTTCAAGAAGTTTCACAATCCTCTCTTTTCTTTYAAGAGACATTTCTCTTGTTGAAGCCATGGTTCTTGCCACTCCACTTCGTCCAGCAGCCCTCCAAGGTGTCATGACTGCAGGTGTTTTTAACTGCAGACTAATGAGCAGATCTAATCTGAGCCAGGTGTCCATTTAGGGAAAGGAAATTGACTGGGTGTGTTCTTATTTTCTACCTCCACTTTGAGTGATTCCATACTTTTTCCCCAGAATTGAGTGATTCCATATTTTTTCCCGGTGCTTGGTCAATAAAAGTAACATTCACTGACTTCCACAATGTTTTCTCTTCATTTCTTTGAGTGTTCCTGAAAGCCAACAAGTTGCACTTTGGAATGACCTTATTGTTGTATCGTGTTTTTGATCTGAGTTTGTTTTACAGAATGAAATGTCTGAATGAGTGCTCATCCAAGACTGGTGATTCCATACTTTTTGCCAGGGGTTATAGAAGGGTAGCTAAATGTATCAAAAAAGGCTATCTAGAGGTAGGAAAAAATTAATGCAGCTAAAAGTAGGAAAATGTTGACTAAAGGCTAAAAGTAGAATGTAGCTAAAAATTAAAAGTAGTAAAGGATGAGAAATGAATGCTGAGGCAGAATTGAAAGAGAGCAATGTTTTTGAAGGACTTGCAAAGATCTCACTGTGATCTTAAGAAGAAAATATCAGTAAATAAATTCAAATATTAAAAAAGCTAAATCCAAAACAAAAACATACTGTGTGAAMAAAAAACTGAAAGCAATAGCAGAAGGGTACAATAACTTGTTTTTTTCAATATGACTCAACAGATCAGTTTATGGACTAACGAATGAAGTTCTAAAAACTATTTTGTAAATGTTCTAGCTTAAAACATAGCTAGGTAAATATTACACAAAAGTAAACATATTTTATACTTTGATACTCTTCTGTTTATTTAGWCCACATTAATCCACATTCCAGAAGAACTGTTTGGCCTCTTTTCCCTTCAGGTAGGAAAGTAAAACGAGGTCACGACCCTCCACYTGTACTGCAGGGTCAGACACTCGTTCTAAACAAAACACCTCTAATGACKTCCAAACCTCTTATCTGCAGGATAACACTGCACTGATCAACTCAACGGATGATCAGAGCTGAGAAGAAGGGATATTGTAAATGTTGTCAGGTTGTCAGAGCAACAGCCTGTGCAGTCAAAAATCCTAAACCCAAGTAGGAAAAAAAAGGAGGGGGGCGTCTTTATTTAACTTTGAGCTATTCCTCTTAATCTGTTACATTACTAAATGCAAATGGGGGCTTTCACATTTTCTGCTGACAGTTTTAATATGTAGCCATGGCCTCTGGAAACAGCCCCCCCTCCTCATCCTTGGCTACGGGTTTTCCCACACATTAATTGGGACCCCTAATGTATTTCCCTGACAGTTTGTAAGAATGGAGGCTCTGGTCTGCTTTAAATTTCAGTCTTCAGAAGAAAGATGTGTACTGATTATCTTGACCAGCAGGTGACGCTAGCATTCAAGTAAACTTGTAATTTAAATTTTCTTGCAATTATTTAGCAACATCAAAAAGATTTTAAGTCCAGTTTTCCTTGATGGATATCACCCGCTGCCTTTCATGCCAGAGTTTATGTTC